AGCATGATGTGAATGCCAAGAATAAGAGTGTTGCTCTCAGTTGAGTCAATAAATGGGAAAAGGGACACGTGTTCAACGTTGTGGGACCAACCACAAAACTTTCTCATTAGGTCGTGTCTTCTAATCGGAAATGTTTATATACTGTGTTGTTGACACGTGTTGGACATGTCTTTTGTGGCTGCTGCTTCTGCAAAACAACGGTACGGACAAAGATGAGTCAATGAGGAGAAATTGTTGTAGACAGGAACATCTAAGAATTTCACGTCAATGAAGCCAATTTTGACGTTGATTTTTTTCCAAGTGGGGCCCGCGATGTGCCCAGTTTCGCCTCAACGTTGTGTGCCGTGTGGGACACCCCTCCTATTCTCCCAAGACTCAAATCATCTCATCAATGAGAAACCCTGTAACCAATTCTAACCACTTTGTGAAAACTAATATTCACTATTCTATTTTTTGAATATGTGTACCTTAAATTATTCAATAGCATTATAATTTTTTATTATAAATGTCATAAAATATAATATATTAATAATATTAATGCTGTCTTTTTAAATATTTATTATTTTTTATGTATTATTATAATGATTATCATTTTATTAACTTTAATTTTTGAATTTAAATTTAAAAATATTAAATATTTTTTAATAAAAGGTTATTATATTTACACATTTAATTTCAATTTTAAGAATGAGTTAAAAAAATCTATTATTATTAATTTGCAATAATTTTATTATAACAATTTTTTAAAACAAGTGTCTTAGATTAACATAACAAAAAATTAATACATAGTATTTTTTTTATTAAAAATTATATGTGTATTAATCTTACTTTTAAATTATTGTTTTTTTATACATTACTTTTAAAGTATTTAAATGTGATAACTTTTTATTAAAAATATTTATTACATTAAAAGTATAATAAATATTTCTTTATAAAAAATATTATTATATATTTATTTTAAATAAATATAAATATTTTATAAACACTTTTTAATTTTAATAATTTATTTATCAATATATATATATATATTATACATATAAACTAAAACCATTCTTAAAAGCCTTTATTGATAAGTTCATATTTTATTTTTTATCAATCTAAATATAAATTAAAAAAATTAGAGTTTTGTTGATGAATGTTTTCAGAATATTATTTAAAAATATTAAATATATTTTATCAAATACTTTAATTTTTTAAAAAGTATAATTAAATAACTTTTATTTTATATACTAATTAGGTAGTTAAGAAAACAAAGATAAAAAATTTTAATTAAGAATAAAAAAATTATATAAAAACACACAAAAAATGTTTTATGCTTATTTTTAGTAAAAAATTGTAATATTAAAAAAACATTTATTAAGCACGCTCGTATTGTATCTTGAATATCAAAGACGATTGGTGAGTTAGACTTGGAAGCATCTTCTTAGGACGTTTGGTCAGTGAAACCTCAATTTTTGGCTGACTTGTTTAGAATAGTATTTCTAAATTCTTAATTTAAAAAAAAATCTTTCTTACCTACATAAATATATAAAATAATTTTTTTAACACGTGTAATATTGCACAAAATAAAAAATTATATATAATATTTTTTAAATTATAATATTTAATATTATTAAAATATTAAATTAGATTACATTTTACAAATTTTAATCAAAATTTATTATATATAAATTTTTTTATCTTGTACGATATTTTACATATTCAAAAAATCATTAAAAAAAAAAAAACAGACCCAAATCTTCTTTATACATATATGTTAGAGAGAGAATCTAAGTCACAAGCTGTGTTGAGAAAGAAGCTTTGGGTAAAATTAGTTTGTTTTTCCCCTCTAATTTAAGCAACACTCAAGCTAAGAAAGCTGAACCCAATCGATGTCATTTCGTAGTTATTTGCTCCGGCAAGGATCCCTGTGAATTTGTCCTTGCTCATATGGCATCTGTGTGAATAATGGCCATTGTTTCTGTCACTTATTAATGGAGCCTGTCTTTTTCTCACTCTGTGGCTTTTGATTAGCCATTATCTAGCGTGTTCACTTGGTGGAAAACAGAGAAATTATTGCCCTTTGATAACAAAGGGAGTTTGACTATATATTTTTCTGTGTTCTCACTGCTTCACCTTGCCCTTGCCACCAGCACGTGCTCGTCTTCATCACTGTAGTAATTAAGCGATTTTCAGCCACAATTAACATAAGGACTTGTAGAAGGGGGACCAATAATTCCACATACAATTAACCAGTATTAATGAATCTCCATTGATGTTAGACGATGCATATACTACAGTACAGGTCGAGTCAATCAACTAACATTAAAAACATTTTCTTTAATATTTTCAATTACTAAATTTGTAAGGATTAAATTTTTTATACTTTATATAATTGATTCTTTTGATTTTTAAATAATTTTTTATTTTCTTAGACAACACGCATTTCACGTGATATAAAAAAAATCATACATATTCAGCAAATTAAATTATAGATCTCTCCTTATAGTATATGATATTATATCTGATCGAATATTTATTCATATTAAGCTACCTAACCTTGGTTTAATTATATTTCTTCATTTGAATGTTGGACGGGAGTACTCCTGGTTATTAGCAGACTCTGCAATTTTAAATATGTTCCCATGGCTTATTTTCTTACAAAGCTCCTTCAATATATAATATTCGTATTCAATTTGACAGCTGTTTAGTTTTAAGATATATCATTACATAATTTTTCATAAGAATTTGTGAGAGCTGAATGAGACTCCACGAAAAACTCTAAATAAGGTGTTACATTGTTGTACATATACTAACAAGCATTATATGCATATTTTTAATTTAGAAGAAAATATGTAAATAGTTTCAATTTGATGAAAACAAGTGACTTTTGGGAAAATAAAAAATAAATATTCTAGGTTTAAAAATTAATATATATAATTGAAAATATTTAAATTGAAATTTACAATTTTGATTTAGAATAAAATTTTCTAAATATTTAATAATTTAAAAATGTTGAAAATATAAAATTAAGTTTAAAATACCGGCCAAAATACTTATCATCAGAGCAAAGAGAATATAATAAAAATATGGTCACAGTTAAAACAGGGAGTCCAATTTATAACCTGAGGATCAATTATTTTACACGAGACTTATGTGTTACAAACAGAGGCGCATCCAAATTTAGTTGAAGGGAGAGTCAAAAATAAATAATTTTAACATATATATAATTTTTTAACATGTATTAAAAATATTTATTTTTAGTGAATAGTTAAATATTAATATATTAAAAAATAAAAATATTATCAAAATAAACATAACTTTTTAATAATTAATATATTTAAAAAATCATCTATTTACTAATTGTATTAGTTTTATAAATATGGATAATTATGTTACTAAATTATGAGAGGGAGGGAGAACATGTTCTTAGTTACCCCATCCATCATGTTTTCGCATCGACACAAAAGTTTAAATATATTTTATATTAATTTTTCAAATTTAATCTCACTGGATAGGTAAGAGATAATTCTCTCCACGTATAATTGTTCGGTTCTGAAATAACCAGGTTTCTCTTAATAGTTTATTTTTTGCGGCCACATAAATATCAAAATAAAATCCAATATTACATAAGAGATTTAAATCTCTTTCATTTGAATCAACATATGTTGATAACAATTTTAAAATATAAATTAGAATTTTGGAAAAGTTAACTCTAATATCAGCGGCATCGTGTTTGAATAATAATAATCTAGATATGGAACAAATTTCTATAATTAGTGGATCAGCCTTAGTTCAAAACAAATATGAATTAATATAATATTATATAATCTAGAGTTACATGTTTTAATGTCTAGCTCGAGAAAGGCGACTCTATTGAAGTGGTGCTTATATAGATGTGGGGGAGCATAGGATGTTTTGACGAAATAGATAAGATTTGGGGGGTAAAATAGGGTAAAGGGACAAGGAATGACATGCAATTTGGAGAGGGCTGTGCATGCTGTGTGAGGGTGGTGGGAGGTGAGGTGGCTACCATAACCTCACTAACTAATTAATTTAGATTTTAATCTCAGAAAGAAAAGAAAAGAAATATTTGTATCCAATTTGGCATTTGGAATCAATGTAAAATAAATGAGAGAGGGTTTAGAGGAAATAAAGGGCAAATAACCTAACCATATAACAGGAAGTGAAGACGCGTTTAAGTGGCAGTGCGCGCGTGTCCTGCTCCTTCCTCCAGAATAATTAGCCGCCGCAGATTGATTTGTCGTGGCCCATGTGATTGCGCGAGCCCATAAACAATAGGAGCGACCATCGACTCCATTCTCTAATTTAAAATCCACCCTTAATAATTAATTCTTAAAATTAAATAATGTCATTAAACTTTGATCAGATATAGATCTAACTATCAAGTCACGCGGCGAGACAGAAGATTCCGCCGACAACTTTTCTACGTACTCCACTGTCCATCTCTATCCCCTGCCCTGCCCTGCCCTTGGCTACATTTTCTAATATTTTATTAAAAAATAATGGCATCATTAAAGCGTATTACGGTTTCAGAAATTAAGGGCGTTGTTGATTTCTATTCCATTACGGAGCCATCAAGAAAAAAGCTACCCATATTCCGACAAATCACTACCTAACGACCCCAAACCCCACTTTATCTCCGCAAATAAAAACGCCATCCATTAAAAAAGTTATAATAAATGAAATAAAAACAAAAAAGAGGAATAGGCGCGTGGATTGAGAGAGAAAGATAACGAGGATGATGATGAGACGAGACCAACTCGTTTGTCTGCTGTCTGGACAACCCACATGCCACGTAATTGGGAGACTAGTATAGTAATTTGCCCTACCACACCACAGTCAAATTCATCGTTGACTGTGGATTCATCCCATGCCCCATGCCCCATGCCCCATGCCCCATGCCCCATGCCCATTCCCATTCCCATTCCCATTCCCATGCCCATGCCCCTCTTCTCCTTCTATAAAATACCCACATGCTCCTCCATACTCTTATGCCTCCGTTGCCCTTTTCTCATTTTTCTCTCTTCTCACTCTACAACAAAACCTCTTCTCCACCATAATTAAATTAATAAATCAAGTTACTTAGGTATTACTAATATTATTATATTATTATGGCTCCCAGGGATAAGACGGCTGCCGTTAAGACTAACGGCAACGGTAACGCCGGGGTGAAGGAGGTGCATTTTCGGGGAGTGAGGAAGAGGCCGTGGGGAAGATACGCCGCCGAGATCAGAGATCCCGCCAAGAAGAGCCGCGTCTGGCTCGGCACCTTCGACACGGCGGAGGAGGCGGCCAGAGCCTACGACGCCGCCGCCCGGGAGTTTCGCGGCCCCAAGGCCAAAACCAACTTCCCTCTCCCTTCCGACAATGTCAAAAACCAGAGCCCTAGCCAGAGCAGCACCGTCGAGTCCTCCAGTCGTGACCGCGACCACGCCGCCGATTCCTCGCCGCTCGACCTCAACCTCGCCCCCGCTCGATTCCCCTTCCAGCACCAGTTCCCCCCAATCGGTGCGGTTTTTCCCGGCACGATGCCGTCGCCGAACCAGGTTTTGTATTTCGACGCGATGTTACGCGCCGGCATGGTTGGTCCACGTCCGTCGCAGCGCTTCGCGTTCGATTATAAGCATCCCGTGGCGGCGAGTGAGTTGCACGCGACGGCGAGCGACTCGGACTCGTCCTCCGTGATCGATCTGAACCACAATGAAGGCGATGTTAAGGTGGCCGGTACTAGAGTCTTCGATCTCGATCTTAACCACCCTCCTCCGCATGAGATCGCGTGAACCGGAATCTGACCCCTTCAGTTTTTTTTTTTTTTTTTAATTTCCGGATTATGAAATTCTCTTTAATTTTATAAGTAGAGAAAATAGCAGCGTCCGATAACAAAAGAAAAAAGAAGAGAAGAAAGTACTATGTGAATAGTTCTTAGGTAGGCGTTTGTCTCTATTTTTTTTGCGACAGAGAAACCACCGGTTTCAAGCTGTTGTTCGAAATTACGAAACTGTTCTGCAGTTTTTTGTTTTTAATTACGTAAGTTGTATTGTTTTTGGTTTCGTTGAATGAAATTAACACGGAAAGCTTGCATTATCTTGATGCTACTTTGGTGGCGGAAAGTGGCCGGAATCTGTTAGGAGGGTTGAAAGATGTGGGTGGAGTGTACTTGGTGGTAGAGGTCGTTGTTGTTGGGGTTCATTGATTGGGCGGATTGACCCGCCGCCACGTGACAGGTGGCTTTTGTCTCTTGAAGGTGACTCCATTGTCCATTGGTGCCTGCCCTATTTAAGTAGTGGACAGGTGTCACAGTGCCTCTCTTTCATTTCATTCCCATCTTCTTTATCGCCCCTGACAATTAACATTTCACTTTGGTGCCCCAGCCGAATAAATTAACTTTTAAATTAGTTCATATTTTTTAATTAATTAAAGTATGGTATACTCAGAAAATTAGCTTTTTTTTTTATAATATGTCTTCCTAGCAAAAATTAATCCCCTCAAACCTTTTTCTTTTCTTTAATGATGTGTTACCAAATAATGGATAAGCTCTATCCTTCCAACCTATATCTCTTCCGTTACATCCTAAAAAAGACGTTTCAAAGAAATCCCATACGCTTGATGATACTGACTTTCTTCTTTCTGTGAGACCTAATACAATTTTTCAACTTTTTGCAAGGCTATTCCATAGTTATCTATTGTTATTTGGTTCTTTTGCATTTGTTTTCATAAAGAAGAATAAGTTAATGGTATAAATCATAATTTTGTTAGGGCATGGTTAATTTACTTGTCAAAGAGAAAGTAGTGATGTTTTTTTTCAAAATCGACTCACGAATAGAAAAAAACTACTTGGTAAATTTTTACATTTATTCATATTTTAAAATCTAAAATTAACATTAATAATTTAATATATTCTTACAAAACCATTCATATTAAATAGTTATTTTGTGTTACTCTGATAGAGTCAAGATGAACCTACCGTAATTTTATAGTAAAACTACTACATTATTAGTGTGCTTCAAGTTGGCGACGACAAGTAGGTATCATATCTGCAAATACATTTTAATATTAGTTAATGTTTGTATAAGTAGAGAAGTCATATGTAAAATATCATGTAGTTGATGCAGTGATGTTGACTTCTTTATATAGAGTTTAAATGCAAATGATAGGCCCTAAATGAAGACTCATGAGATAGAGTTCAATGTGACTTTACTGTAAAATAATTTGTACTGTTAAGGATAAAAAACATAACTTGGTCATGATTTCTTGCAATAAATTTGTACAAAATGTTAGATATATAAAACATTTAACTTGAAAAAGTATCATATTTAATTTGTGACCTATTTGTTTAATAGACTTGTTAGAGATTTGAGAATTTAAATAATAATAATTTGTATATTTTACTTTGCACGCTATATTTCACTCTGTATAATGAAAATTAAGCAAGTATATTTTCAAATGATATGAGTATAATGAAATATTGTCTAACTGTTTAAAATTTTATTGAGGATAAACAAATTTGTATTATTAAGGATAAAAAATATAACTCTTTAGTCATGATTTTCTTGTGATAAATTTATACAAAATGTTGGATATATAAAGCATATAACTAAACCTAGTATCATAAATGAGTATCATATTTGATATGTGACTTAGTTGTCTAGTAGACTTTTAGAGATTTAACATAGATAATTTTAAATTTTTGGTCTTATTAAAATGACTTATAACAATTATAATAGATTTTTTTTCTCTCACTACATTCTATTCTATATAATTAAAAATAAGCAAGTATACCTTATGGTGATATTAAGTATAAGATGAAAAATTGTTTAACTATTTAGAATTTTATTACACCTTAATTTAAATAATGATTTATCGTTAAATACTTGACTTTAGTAAAATTAACAAAATGGTTAATATTTTACTAAAAGTTATCGCAAAAGTAAAGCTTTCTTCAAATATCTCAATTGACCATAGCTACGTGCCTAACTTCCTTACCACATCAACTATTAAACCCTTGGTTACTATAGACAAAATCATATCCATATTAATCTTAAAATTGACTATAAATAAAATGGTCTACCACATCAACTATTAAACCCTTGGTTACTATAGACAAACTCCTATCCATATTAATCTTAAATTTGACTATAAATTAAATGGTCTAACTATTATATACATACGCTCTCTATATAACATTTCTAATAAATATTAACTTTGTTGAATGCGCAATGGATCACCATACAGGTGCTAAATACATTCTGTATCTGACGGTTATAGCACTAAGTTTTAATCTGCCTTTAAGACCATTAACGACTATACTTTTATTTTGACTAAATTTTTCAAATTTGAGCATTGAATGCTTTTTTTTTTATTTTTAAATATTCTCTATTAAGCTAATCAAAGCATTATGAAAAATTACCAACAATTTTTATGAACCATATGTTAGTCACTAGTACTAAATATTCAAATTGCCATTAATATATACTTAGATACCGAATTAATACATAAATTTAAAAGTTTTTAATTGAGGTTCTAATTGAATCCAAACTCAATTGAATGAATGTTCATAAATAAAATGCAAATATTAATTAATGCCACAAAAGATTAGCTTGAGGATTCCTTACCAAACCCAAGGTGAAAATTAGGAACAAGCATAGGAAATATTGAACAGACAATCAAATATTAGTAGACACCTAATGAGCTTTAAATTTGCCTAGTAATAATTTTTTTTAGTATTGCCCTCTCATTCTTAAACCTAATATGTACTTGAGCAAGACAAACATCCTCGTATATTTTCCATGGAATAGTCTATCTAAAGACTTTTGATCTATCTCGTCTCAGTCTTTGCATTGAAAGCGTGTGGTGAATAGTAATAACAATATCTTTTTAAACAAAATAGTGGAATAAATTTTACATTAACAAAAGGTGGTCAATCCAATTGAAGGATATATATCGGATGAATCTAGAGAGAGAGACAGAGAGAAATAGCCTCTCATAAAGTGTTATGCCACAACTTGAATCTTTAGACTAAGAGACACCCAATTTTCTTTGGAAGAAAGCATACCTTTATTATCTTTTAACATAGTAAAATTATCTCCTTCTCTATTCATCTTCTCTTTCACTGCAATTTTCTTAAATTAATCATCAATAATTTTCTTTAGTGCCAAATACAAGGGGAATGTAAGGTGCCAATGTTTTACGATTTCTTAATGAGCATTTCCATGTTGGACAGTTAAAAACACACATGACATCGTTTTCGTTACTTAATTTGGAAAGAGTTTATGGCATGTTGAACATTATGGATGTAGTTATTATTCTTAAATTTCAAGTTCTATTTATGCTAGGTCGCAATGTAGACAATATGAATTAGAAAACATTTTTGCTTTGCTTAATTAACGTGGCGCTTGACTTTGCCTAGAACGGATCACAGAATACGCACCAAACAATTATTTCTTAATCTTTGGACACATATTAATATTATCCGAGCAAACAAGTATATCCATAAGTGCTCGTGTTGAAAAATCAAAACTAGAAAGCAAAAGGCATAACCAAAAGCGATGTGAAGCTTGAAGTAATTATAGGAAGAAAGATGAAGTTGGCCTTGTGTAGCTAATTATGCGCCTGCCGACTTCAAAGAGACCCCACAAAAGTTAAACGTAACTAATGCGTGGTTCACAATAGATTGTGTTTCTGATACCTATTTATCACATCTCGGGCACCAAGCAAGCACCCGTGTAGTTCCCCTAGTTTGATACAGTACAGAAAGCATTATTAATTATTTTATTTTCTCACTTTGGGTTTTCTTGGCTTTTTTTGTCAATATATACTTTTGAGTTTTCTTGGTTGAATAATGAATATGGTCATGTGGGCTCCCCTGGCTCGATAAATTCTTCAGATGTTGCAATCACCGGCCATTTTGTACCATTTTTTCTAATAAATAAGGAGACGTATACCGCGGAATATTTAGCCGTGTGGTGCTTCTCTTCTCATTGCTTTGGCCTCTTGTGATTAGGATGCAAAACTCGTTAGTTGAAGGGTTTCACTCGTTTATTCGAGTTGTTGGATGAAGAACCTGATATCAAAGATCATATGCATAAGCTATTCGGAGCCACACCTAAATATCCGGTTCGATACCCTATATTTATGAAGGAGTCGGTGAAGATAAATAAACATAACAATATAAGTTTATGTGCAAAGATAAGTTTATTTTTTCCTCTATTTTAAATTTGTGTGTAATTTTAATCTTTCTAATTTTTATATTTATTATTTATTCAAATTAAATATATTAACAAGAATATAATAAAGATATAACTTACATTGAAAACTATGTTAAAATATAAAATAAATATACTTCTAATAAAATGTTTTAGTTGTAATTCATTAACCAGTTCTTTAGTACTTTTTTGAATGTATGTTGAAAGTTAAATTTATTTAATTTTGGGAAAGAAAAGGTCCTTACCCTAACAGGCACCACGTGTAGAGGGCCCGTAAAAAGTATAAATAAATAAATAATCTGATTTAATTAAATAACTTGGAATGGCGCGTGGGATTTGATTGGAGGCGGAAATGTTATGTTAACGTTGAGTGGTGCATATCGCTTTTGGCAATGGCATGCACGTGTAATGCAAGAACCCTGGGACCCACCATTGCAACCGCTGCTCATGCAGTCTTGCTTTTGGTCATTGGTGGGACCCCTCTGCCTAATATTATCTACACACCATTTTCCCTTCTTTCCTAGACATTACAAATCCCATACTCAGGGAAAAAATATATATTACATTTATATATTTGAATAAATTATTTAACTAAGTATTTATTCCACACAATTATATTTATTACAATTATTTAAATAGGTTAAATTAGTTAATTTTAATAAATTATCCCTAAGTATTTATTAAAATAAATTTTAAAAAAGTGTATAAATCATTATTATTCTTTATAAATTCTTCAAATGTTTCCAAAAATGTGATTCCAGATAGTTGAGTACTTAAAATTGTCAAATATGCTTTAACAGGTGAATTGTTCTTTTTCTTAGAGAAATTAGTTTGAGTTTGAAGCTGTGACTTATGCAAACAATCTAATTATATTAGTTTGTGTTTGAAACGTTAAATATTTACATTTTTTTATTTCATTAACATAACGTCAAATAAAATGGGTTAATATTGCAAAAAATGATTAATCAATAACTAATCATCCCAACGATTAGGTAAACGGAAATTATTCTCCTTAACAGCTGGCTTAAGTAAAGGATTAGTGGGGCAGACTATGCCTACGCAACACTATCCTCCGGATCGCAACGTTTAATAAGATGCACTGAATTAAAAATAAAATAAAATGTCGAATTAAACACAAATGATTCATGCTTTAGTTTGTCAATTTGATAAGGTATTGATTTCGATTTGAAATGGGAAGATGCTGCTTTATTATCAAGGATCAACAAGTGGGGAAAAATAATTGAGGATTCTATTATGTTTTTGTGTGGATCTTTATCCCACTATTGCTTTTTTAATTATTTTTTAAATATAGTATTTAATACTATAATATATTGAATTAAATTAAATTTTACAATTTTTTATGAAAATATTCTATATTTTTTATTATGTATAATATTACACGAATAAAAAATATATAAAAAATTAGAAGATTTAAAATTATGTTGATGCTAAACTTTATTGATCCCATCTGTTGAGTTGGACGATCGTGTAAGTAATCATAATTACATGGCATGAATTCTTTGAGCCTGATTTTTAATATAATACTAAAAAAATATACATATTTAACCCCCGTGTTTCAATTTAACCCTAATGTAAATCAAGGTGTTTCTCATTTTCATTAAATTGGACTACAACAAATAAAATGGGTTAACGATGTGCCTACCAAACAACCACAAAGTGTTAATGGTGTAGATTTTTTTTAGGTACATATTCGCATACAGTTTAATAAAATTGCATATCAACAAATTAGACAAGGTTAATCTTATAAACAGATACTCGTTCTAGTTTTTTTATGTTTAAAATTCTATATAAAAATTAAGAAAAGCATTGCTATTATAATTTTATAAATATTAATATTATTTTATTTTTATCTTACATTTTATTTACTATATTAATTAATACTGATTATAAAAAATGTTTTAAAAAGATATTTCTAACTAAACACACATTAATCATTTAAAAAAATTAATCGCTCACCGGTTCTATAAAATAACAATAAAAGTTTAGAATATTAAAATTGTAAAAAAATAATAATATAGTGCGTACATGACAAATAAAATAAATAAATAAGCTAGTGTTGTCTGAAGAATTTTACTAATAGGCATTGTTAATTTAAGAAAATCACTTAAGTTGACATTACATAAGATTTTGAGAAATTACTGATTATTAATTTTATTTTAAATAATAAATATATGATATATAACAAATAATGGTTTTTTACGGCCAACAA